TGTCCTCTATCCCTGGCCCGCCAGAGATCATCGATCAGCACGACCAAAGAAGTTTCGGTGTAGTAACCAGGCCTGAAACCCGACTGAAAGGGATCTAGATAGTCTGCTTCATCCAAGGTCCATCGGAGTTGAAAGGCCACCACCTTCTCAACAATCTTCCCTAAGAAAGGGAGGTTGGAGACTGGACGGTAGTTATTAAGGATAGCTGGGTCCAGAGAAGGCTTCTTAAGGAGGGGTCTTACCACCGCATCCTTCAGAGGGATGCGGGAAAGATCCCTCTTGTAGAGAGGTGTTAACAATCCTCTGGAGCCAGCCTCGTGTTATCTCCCTGCTGGTCGAGACCAGCCAGGAGGGACACGGGTCCAGTATTGGAGGAAGCTTAACCTCGCTGCTAGGATTGACTTTTGCATTCTTTTGTCTGAATTGCTATTTTTCATCCTGGGTACTTTTTTCTTTCGCATTTTTTCTTTACCTGATCCTGTTTTTTTCCTTTCTGTAGATAAGGGTCGGCTCTCTGCCAAGGTGGCACGTCTTTCTCCTTAATTTTTAGTTGGGAAAGAATTGATCTTTTCCATACATAAGTACTGCCTGTGTTGGCAGGATTCAATTGCCTTTCATTTTCCTGAGACGGCTGGTTCCCTGAGCTGTCTTAGTGGAGGAAAACAAACAGAGATGGGGGGAAAAAGAGAGAGAGAGAGAGAAAAGAAGAAGAAGAAGAAGAAGAAGAAGAAGAAGAAGAAGAAGAAGAGGAGGAGAAACCTAATGCAGAATACCTGCCCTTAGATCGGCAAGCGAATACTAATAGAAATACACTGAGATCCAGTGTATCCAGTGAGATCCAGATCCATCAATGTAACCACAAGCATCTAAGCCGGACCACTTTTCCATAGATAAGGAAGCAGTGACGTGCGGTGAGTTTTATGGCTGGTGAGGCACTGACAGGTTGGTGGGTTTCAAATTTTTTTAGACTTGTTGACTTTAACTCCCAGAATTCCACAGCCAGGCATGCTCAGTTCCGATTTAAAGCGACATCATTTGTTTTTCTCCTTTGCGAAAAAGTTTCCTTCATTCTTTTTCTTCTCCCTCCCCCTCCTTCCTCCCTGTCTCCCTCCCCCCCTCTCTCAAACAGACACACGCACACAGAGAAGTTGGATTGGACTATCTCTCCTACCCTCTTCCCTCTCTCACTCACTGTCTCTCAAACACAAACACAAACACAGAAGATGGATTGGATATATTTTCCAATGGCTTGAAAGCAGCTCCTCTGCCATACCCCCCCCCCCATTCCCCTGCTGCCTTCCCCAAACACCTCCACAATTCAAATGCAGCCTGCTGTCTGGGTGGGAAATGCCTGGAACGCAATAAAGCCCACCCACCCACTCACCTCCTGCTTGCAGGCTGGGGTGAGAGAAGAAGCAGAGAAGCCGCAGGGGAGCCGATCCGAGCCTTAGATTGCAGGCGGAGCCATGTTGCCTTTTCAAACTTGTAATCAGTGAAGCTGGGCTTATATAGTTTTATCCAGATGTGTGTGTGTGTGTGTGTCTGTGTGTGATATTTGGACAAAGTTTTTGCAAAAAGAAAAACCCCACTGCTGCAAATTTAAGCTGTGTAAAATATGACTAAAGGAATCTGGGTTTGAAAAAAAAAGGGAGGGGAACATACATAAAAAAATGATGCAGTCTTTTTACCCATTGGGATTATAGAATTCATTATGCAATTTGTAATTTTTTAAGCTTGTTCAGTGGTGAGGGAGAAGCAATTTAGCAATGTAATCATTAATTTGACTTCTTTTCTGATTTCTTTCCTTCCCCCAATTATAACTTTACCTTGGCTTTTCACTTCACAACGACTACTGTGTTTTCCCGAAAATAAGACATGCCCTGCTAATAAGCCCAATCGGGCTTTTCAGAGCAGGCACCATAATAAGCCCTCCCTCAAAAATAAGCCCGCCCCCCAACTATTTGAGCGCATGCGCAACCGGTCCCCGCCATTACCACTGTACCACCTACTGGTACATAGGTACATAGAGCCGAGGTGGCGCAGTGGTTAAATGCAGCACTGCAGGCTACTTCAGCTGACAGCAGTTCTGCAGTTCGGCTGTTCAAATCTCACCGGCTCAGGGTTGACTCAGCCTTCCATCCTTTCGAGGTGGGTAAAATGAGGACCTGGATTGTTGTTGGGGGCAATATGCTGACTCTGTAAACCGCTTAGAGAGGGCTGAAAGCCCTATGAAGCGGTATATAAGTCTAACTGCTATTGCTATAGCTTGCGGGGCAAAAAAAGGGCCCGCTGCAAAAACAGCGGCAGGCGAAGCAATGTGCTTCCACTCCCCACTTTTCCCTCCTGCTCAAAAAGAGCCCGCCGCAAAAACAGCGACAGGTGAAGCAATGTGCTTCCACTCCCCGCCCTTCCCTCCTGCGCAAAGAGCCCGCTGCAAAAACAGCAGCAGGTGAAGCAATGTGCTTCCACTCCCTCCCTTCCCTCCTGCGCAAAGAGCCCGCCGCAAAAAGAGCGGCAGGCCAGCAATACGATCACCCCCTCCCGCCTGTTCCTTCTCGTGCAAAAAAACTGCACACCCCACCCCACCCCAATGGTAAAGGCAGCCTGCCTGGTTCCCTTCCCTGCCGTCCCTTTAGCGAGGGGTGGTAGGTGGGGGGGGGGGAGAAGCGAGGTGCGCCTATTACCTTTCCAGGTCCATTGCATTCCTCGCCCTTTTCACTGGTTCGGCCAGCCAGCAGTGGACCTCTGCGACGCAGCAGAATACTCACCTGCCACATTTCTTTTCGCGGTTCAGGACCCTGGGAGCAGAAGTCACTGACACTCTTCGCAGTTGCTGGCCGCCTGGTTAAAGCGCCTTTGCCTGGACGCCTTTCCTCCCCTCCTCATTCTATTGAGGGTCATCAGGAAGGTAATCACCAAAAGAGCAGAACTCATCCTCATCACCCCCACATTGGCCACAACAACCAGGGTTCGCGGACTTGCCCAGTCTGTCCATCCTCCCCCCATGGAGGATACCAGAACACAGAGTCCCTCTCAGCCAGGGGGAACTGGAGCATCCAGATCCTCAGTGGCTCCAGTTAACCGCCTGGCGCTTGAGAGGTAACTCTTAGCGAGGCACAATTTTTCCAAGGACGTCATCTACACCATCCAGGCCTCGAGACTTGCTTCCACCACCCAGATCTATTACTCCTTCTGGCAGGCGTTCAGCAACTGGTGTGCAAGAGCCCACATCAACGCTCCTTCAGCTACCGTCCCACAGGTGTTAGACTTTTTACAACATGAACTAACTAAAGGCCTGGCACCTAGCACTCTTCGGAGACAAGTGACTGCCATTGCTACCGTATTACCTGTCAAGGGTTCCGGTTCCTTGTCACATCACCCTAAGGTATGGAGTTTTCTCAGGGGGGCTATCAACCTTCGCCCACCTGTAATACATAGGTACCCCTCCTGGGACCTTTCTCTTGTCCTTCAAGCCCTTACGGGCCCTCCCTTTGAACCATTAAAATCCATGTCTCTCAGGCTCCTTACCATCAAGGTAGCCTTTCTCGTGGCAATAACGTCGGCCAGGAGAATTTCGGAGCTAGCAGCACTTTCCGTCCATCCAGACCCGTGCCTCATCCGACCGGACAGGATTATTCTAAGACTTGACCCGTCCTTTCTCCCGAAGGTGAATATGTGGTTTCACAGGGCACAGGACATCATCCTGCCAGACTTTTGTCCTCACCCTGTTCACCTGACAAAAAGGAGATAGACATAAGACAAGCAGTTTGCCATTACATAAATTGGACAGCTGATGTCCGGCGAACTGAGAACTTATTTGTGTCCTTCCAGCCTGCCACAATGGGCAAGAAGGTTTCACCAGCTACGATCGGTAGATGGTTGGGGGCTGGCATAGCCCTAGCTTATGAGCAGCATTCCAGAGCCGTACCTCATCATATCACGGCTCATTCGACACGTAGTGCTGCCACTACTGCCGCCTGGGCAACTCAGGCGTCAGTGGAAGATATTTGCAGGGCTGCAACCTGGGCCTCACCATCGCCGTTTATCAAACACTACCGGCTAGACTCATTTGCTTTGGCGAAGGTGGCGTTTTTGACGACGTGTGCTGCAGAGGGTTCTCTCCAGAAGGGACCCTGGAGCAGCCTATCACCCGCCCTTGATCATCTATGCTTGGGTATATCCCATGCATGGAGTCTTCAAGCAGTGCACAGGAGAAAGACAGTTGGTCTTACCTGAACGGTAGTTCTCTGTGCACTGCGGGAGACTCCATTCCCTCCCTGAGGAGGCGGTCCAGGATCCACATTGGATTCTAAGGAGTTTAAGATGACTTTCTTTGACCTATGCCTTCGTTAAGAACTGAGATCCAGTCAAACCAAGGAGTCGTGTCCAAATAATTCAAACTCAGTCTCGGGGCTAATAGGCAGAAGTTATAACCCATGCATGGAGTCTTCCGCAGTGCACGGAGAACTACCGTTCAGGTAAGACCAACCGTCTTTCTCTCTAAAGTTTTTAACCAGTATCTTTGTTTTTTCTTTGTTTATTTTCAATCCTGCCACTTCTCCATATTATTCTATTTTTCTTATTAGCTTGGAGCCAGTTTCTAATGGTTCTTCTAAAATAAATACCAGGTCATCCGCAAATGCTTGTAATTTATATTTTTCTTTTTTGATTTCCATCCCTTTTATAGCTGAGTCTTGTCTAACATTTCTATTTAGCACTACTAATGTTAATATAAATAGTAATGGGGATAATGGACATCCTTGTCTTGTACCAGTGGTGGGATTCTTTTTTTTTTTACTACCGGTTCTATGGATGTGGCAGGGGAAGGATACTGTAAAATCTCCATTCCCTCCCCACTCCAGGGGAAGGTTATTGCAAAATCCCCAGGAGGCAGAGAATAGATGGGGGTGGGGCCAGTCAGTGGTGGTATTTACCAGTTCTCCAAACTACTCAAAATTTCCGCTACTGGTTCTCTAGAACTGGTCAGAACCTGCTGAATACTACCCCTGTCTTGTACCCTTTCTTATGTCAAAATTCTCTGTCAAGTCCCCATTCACAATCACTTTTGCTGCTTGTCTAGACTAGAGTATATTGTCCGAATCATATTTATAAATTTTTCACCAAAGTTCATACATTTTAGTTGTAGCTTAAATTGTTAAATGCTTTTTGTGGATCTAAAAAAATCAACGCCATTTGTTTTTCTGAATGTACTTTGTAATATTCCATGTATCTAAAATTATTCTCACATTATTTTTTATTTGTCTTTTCGGTAAAAATCCTTTTGTCAGACCTGGAAGCCATCTTTTACCTTTTGGATTTCAGGCCTGCCACACTTTCTACTGTGGGAAAATGGGAGGGGGGATTATACAGAGAATGGGTGATGTGTAGCCATAATAACATTCTTTCTCAGAAAGTAAAGTTCGCTTTGTCCCTGCACCTGGAGAGATGTGGATGGGAGGAATCTTTCTTCGTGGCAATGAAGGATTGGACCATGTGAGAGACTTGTGGGTGTTGGGGCAAGGTCTTGAACTTTCAACTGGGTGGGAAAACCTGGAAGCTTTCAGATTCGGGTTTTCCCAGATGTGTCAACTTTGAGGAAACTCAAGCCTTGGAGTTTTCTTTCGTTGGGGGTGTTTCTTGGAACCCTGACACCTTTTTGATCTGAATGTATGAATTCATTCAAATACCTTTTAAGTCTTTCCGCTATTATTGAAGTGAATATTTTGTAGTCTACATTTAATAGGGATATTGGCCTATAATTCTTTATTTGAGTCAAATCCAAGTCTTCTTTTGGGATTAGCGTAATATTTGCTTCCCTCCAAGTCTTTGGTATCTTAGCTTCTAACAATGCTTAATTGTAGACCTCTAAGATTGATATATTTAATACATCTTGTAGAAATTTATTAAATTCTGCCGGCAGTCCATCTGGCCCTGGTGTTTTATCATTCTTTTGCCTTTTAATCGCCTCTGTCAATGCCATCATTGTTATTTTTTCATGTAACATAGTTTTCACCATTTCAGGTACTTTTGGTAATTCTGCTTTTCCTAAATATTGCAATATTTTTTCCTCTGGCACTTTTTCTTGGGTCATATAATTTTCTATAGAACTCCTGAATTATTTTCTTTTTACCCTCATGTTGGTACTGTCTCTCTTCTCATCTTGCAATTTACTTATCAATTTCTTCTCTTTTTCCTTTTTCAACTTGTATGCTAACCATCTTCCCGGTTTATTTGCATTTTCAAAAAAAAATGTTTTGGTCTTTTAATTTGTTGTGCCAAACCTTCTTTTTCCATTAGATTTAATTTATGTTTCATTGTTTCCATTTGTAATTTTAAATTTCTTCTCTATGGTTCTCTTTATAGATCAATTTCAAGTCTTTTATACTCTTGTCCTAGTATCTGTTGATGTTGTTTTTCTTCTTGTTTTTTCTCGCTGTGTAGGTTATGGCTAACCCTCTAGCACAGTGATGGCTAACCTTTTTGTCGTTGTGTGCCAAAAGCACGTGCTCGCACCCATAATGCAATGTGCGTGTCCCCCCCGTGTGCACCCCGCGCGTGCACAGCAGAGACCTGAAAACAAACTGGGCAGCGGGAGGCGCACGCACATGTGCGGTGCAGCTGAGCTGGGTGACAGCTTGCTAACCTTTTTGTCATCACATGCCAAAAGCGCACGCATCCATAATGCAATGTGCGCATGTGCGTATGACCCCCCTGCACTCCCCCACCCCTCTGCATGCATGGGCACCCCCATGCATGTGCCATGCCCCTGCGCATCCGTGTGTGACCCCTGTACATGTACTCCACGCATGCGCAGCAGAGACCCCAAAACAAGCTGGCCAGCGGGAGGTGCGCACACATGCGTGGTGGAGCTGAGCTGGGCAATAGCTTGCGTGCCCGCAGAGAAGGCTCTGTGTGCCACCGGTTCACCATCACAACTCTATATGCTTTAGCTTTTCTGTTCACTTTGAAGAATTCCATTTCTTATTTGATTGTTTTAATACGTTCTTTATCCTTTAATATTGACTGATTCAGCATCCATCTCACCTTTTTCTTTTGTCCCTTCCAACTCATTTTTATTGGATTATGATCAGCCCATAAATTTGTTTCTATCTCTTGCAGATTTGTGTTCAATTCCAGGGACATCCATATTATGTCAATTTTGGACCATGATTAGTGTCTATTTGAGTAGAATATTCTGATTTTTCTCTGGGTTTATTTCTCTCCATGTATCCTGTATACCTATTTCTTCTGCTATTTTGAAGAAAGTCCTAGGAAGATTCCTTCTTAGTTTTTTACCTATTTTACTACTTTTATGGTCCAGTTTTATAGCTACAATTGCATTGAAGTCTTCTATCATACATATATTTTCATAGTCTATTTCAATTATCTTCTTACGCAATTTTGTATAAAATTCTTCTTGTCTGTTATTTGGCTCATAAATCGCTATCAAAAGTATCTTTTTTGATTTATTACTAGCACCACCATCAAAATTCTCCCTCCTTCATCTGTATAAATTTGTTTGGCATTTATTGTTTCCTTGATATATAAAGCCACATCTCTTCTATTGTTTTGCTAGTGAAAAATAAACTTTCCCAATCTTAGGGAATAGTTTACTATGTTGGGTTTTAATGTGAACTTCTTGAAGACAGATTATATCTAATTTCAATTTTTGTAAGCATGTAAATTTTTTCCCCTTTTCATAGGAGAACTCTCCTATGAATCCATTTATATTAACTGAGAAAAGTTTAGTATAAGCTTCCATCTTCATCACATATATGGGTCTTGCTCTCCTAGTTCTTATTTTTTTCTGGTCTTTTGCTGTCGCTCCTTCTCGTTCTGCTCGCTCTAGTTTCTCAGCCTCACTTTCTTCTTGTTGTGTGTTTATTTCTTCTCTTGTTTGTTCCTCTTGTTTCTTATATTCTATTTCTTTTCTTGTTTCCTGTCCCTCTTTTGCACTAAAATGGTAGTCATAAAAATTCTAACACCTTGTCTAATGTATCCAGTCTTATCTTTTTTCATTCCAATTCACTAATATCCCCTCAGGCACCAACCATCTAAAATTTTTATTATACTTGATTAATTTCCCAGTCAGGAATTGATATTGTTTCCTTAAACCTCTAACTCTCCTTGGAACCTGTTTCAGAACAATAATTTCTTTTCCTTTGTATTGCAATGGTCCATCTCTTGCCTTTTTAAAGTACTTCTTCTCTTGTTGATTTTTTAACAAATCTCACATGGACTTCTCTTGGAAGTTTATGTCTTTTCACATAGTTCTTATGTATTCTGAATATTTCATTCACCTCATTATCCGTCTCCTGTTTATTAAAATTTAAAGCCTCAGCTAGTATCTCTATCATACCCAGAAGGCCTTCTTTTTCTTTTTCAATATTTTGGAATCGTAAATAATAAGCCACCTTCTCCATGTCGAGCATTATTACTGAGTCTGTAAGCTCTTTATTTTCTTGTGTCAGTCTTTGATTCATTTCCTCAGAGTCAGTGCACAAAGTCAGTCCGTTGTGTAGCTATCTATATATATAAAAGCGAATTACCACTCATACATCGTCACAAACTCTCCAGAACTGTAAACCCACAAACTTCAAATTTGCCACGTATGTTCCTCTTGGCTTCTAGGTGCTCACTAAGAAAGGATTTTTTGAAATTACCATCACAGCATTAGTATTTCCTATATTATTAACATGCTCTGATTCTAAGGAGTTCTACTCCCCCTCCCCACCTGAAAAGAAATCTGTTCCAAATGCAAAACACACACTGACAGGACACTAGGCAGATGAATACCAATGGATGCTGGTAGGCAGAGGCAGACTTTTCCCCCTTATTTTCCTCCTCAGTTTAGACAAATCTGTTCGTTCTACTGTAACATCAGTTAAAGGGAAAAGAGGCAGAAAACGCAGAAAAAGATTTACAGATGCTATTAGGAAAACACAAGTAAGGGAAGCTGCACACAAGTATCGTCAAACTCATCCCCAGGTCAGTAGACAGGCTGTAAAAAAGTATACAACTAATAACCCCTACGTTAATCAGTCACAAATGAGATCAATGCCTTAGCCTAATAAGCATTTGTCTGGTTTTAAATATGAACCTCAGATTGATTACTCCAGGGACAAGGTTGTTGATCTCAGACCCCTGTTTCCCTGTGCCTGGTGCCGTTCTCTAAAGTGGCAGGATGAGAGTCCTGGGATGTGCTGCAGTGGCAGTGAAGTCCACCTCCCTACCCTTCAACCCTCCCCTGAACCCTTACATAGCCTTCTCACCCACCAGCATCCAATGGCAAAGCACTTTTCTGCTGTCTGGAAGTACAACAGATGCTTCCAAATGACATCTTTTGGAGCCAGAGAAGTGAAGGAGGGAAATTTTATGCCAACATTCAAAGTGCAGGGGCAGGTCCACCACAGGACAGGGAATATCATGGTGGGGCCTCAGCAGCAGCCTTCATTTCTCCAGATATACTGTGTTGGTGATGATGACAATGAGAGGGACATCCATTGTGGAATCTACCCAGGTGTTAATCCACAACTGTTTAGCCAACTGCAGAAGTTGCTGCGTGAACACAACAAGTATATTCTGGAACTTAAGGCTGCTGTTGATTCTGTTCCTAAGGGCCACAAGGACTTCCAAGTGGTGATTAACTCTGATAGGAAGCCTTCTGGAGAGCACCGAGGTCGTTTCAATGCCNGCTTCCTTAACCTTTGTATCGCCTTATCAAATGCCTTACTGAAGTCCAAGTAAACTATATCGACGGCATTCCTCTTGTCCACTAATTTTGTCCCCTAATCATATGTGTTGCTCTTCTCTGCCTAGAACTGTATTGGCTTTTTTGGCAGCTGCAGCACACTGCTGGCTCATATTGAATCCTGAGCTTGTCTTCTGGGGTGTTGGCTATTCCTGCCAGCTTAGTGTCATCTGCAGAAGTTCCCCTTCTATTACCTCATCAAGTTATTTATGAAGATATTGAAGAGTACTGGGCCTAAGACGGAACCTTGTGGTACCTCACTGCTTACTTCCCTCCATGTAGACGTAGACCCATTAAGGACTACTAGTTGAGTACGGTTTGTCAGCCAATTACGAATCCATCTGGTGGTGATGCTATGCCACTTTTTTCTAGTTTACCAAGAAGTAGGTGTGGGCCTACTTTGTCGAATGCCTTGCTGAAATCTTAAGTATACAATGTCCACAGCATTTCGCTGGTCTACTAATTTACTCATTTTGTCAAATAAGATTTGTTTGCCATGTTCTGTTTTTAACAAACCTGTGCTGGCTTCTAGTTATAACTTTGTTTCTAGATGTTCGCAGATCTGTTTTATGATTATCTTTTGCAGGATCTTCCCAGGTATTGATGCCAGGCTGATTGGTCTGTAGTTTCGTGAGTCTGTCCCCCCCCCTTTTTTTTTAAAAAAAAGATGGGAACCACATCAGTTCTTTTCCAATCCTCAGGTACTTCCCCATTGTTCCAGGATTTTTGAAAGATATGGTACAATGGTTCTGAGATAACATCTGCCAGCTCCTTCAGAACTCTGGCACGTAATCTGTCAGGTCCCGGTGATTTACATTCATCAAGATCAGACAGGTGTTCTCTTACCTTTTTCTTACCTATTTTAATTTTTATTTCTAGTATGTCTTCTACAGTTGTGCTTTTGGTAGGTTGGGTTATAGTTTCTTTTTGTGTGAAGACTGATCACAAAGAATGAGTTAAGTAGCTCTGCTTTCTCTCTACTGCCTCTTACTTCCTTGCCATCTTCTCGATTTAGTGGACCAACTTTTTTCTTGTTATTTATATGTTGAAAGAAACTTTATTATCTTTGACTTTTGTTGCAAGTCTTTGTTCATTCTGAGCCTTTGCTTTCCTGACTTCATCTTTGCAGATTCAGGCTATCTGCTGATATTCTGCCTTAGTTATGTGTCCCTCTTCCCATTTTTTGTACTTGTCCTTTTTGTGTTTCAGTTTATCAGAGAGATCTTTGAGTTCTTTTCCCCTTTAGGATTTTCATCCATGGAATTTTTCTTAGGCTCTCTCCGAGTTTGTTAAAATCAGTTCTGTTCAAGTTTAAGACACTGGTTGGATTATGTTCTATTTCTTGTGTTTGCATTATGTTGAATTCCAATATGACATGGTCACTCTTGCACAGGGTTCCAGCAACTTCAACTCCCCCTATCACTTCTTCTCTATTAGTAAGACTTAGATCCAGTATAGCTTTTCCTCTAGTTCCCTCCTCTACCTTTTGGATGACAACGTTGTCAGCTAAGTTGGTTAGGAATCTGTACAATCTCCCACTTGCTACAGAGTTTGTCTCCTAGTTGATACCGTGTTTCCTCGAAAATAAGACAGGGTCTTATTTTCTGTTGACCCCAAAAATTTGGCTTGGGGCTTATTATCGGGGGGGCTTATTGGTTTGGGTTTGTCGGGTGGCTGCTTTTGCGAGCGGGCGCCTGAAGAGCCAGGCACAGCCTCAGGGGCAAACGGCTGTGTTGCGCTGTTGCAGATGCGTTCTAGGATTTCTTTCATCCTTGGTTTTGTGCATTTCTGTAGAGATGTAGTGATCTTTTATATACAGTGCATTCAGAAAGTATTCAGACCCCCTTCCACTTTTGTCAATTTTGTTATGGTGCAGCCTGATTCTACAGTTGTTGAAATTCATTTTTTTTTTCTCGTTAATCTACACTCAGTACTCCATAATGACAAAGTAAAAAAGAATTTTAGAAACGTAAATTAAATCAAATAGATGGTCAATATACAAATATTTGTTGGAGGTGCAAGAAAGAGGTTGGAACATATAAACATATGTGGTGGGATTGTGATANAGGAAGCCTTCTGGAGAGCACCGAGGTCGTTTCAATGCCCCCATGACTACAGAAGTGGCTGTTCTCATTGTCAGCCAGGATTTTGAGAAGAGAGAGATTGTTCTCCATATCAGAGACAACAGGTTGTTACCAATCAGTGAGACGCACCATGCCTATGACTCTCCTGTACCCTCTGATGTTCTGCCGTGGAGAAGATGGCTATTACATCAATATACCTCAGTGCGACCCAAACACCAAAGTTCCTCTCAAGAAGACCGTGTCTGCTGCTGCCTTTTACAGCTACAGGATAATGGAGTGTGATGGCAAAGAATGCTACCTACTGCTGTTCCACTTCTGTAACGAAGCACGGGTATCCAACTGACTAGTAGGTTTATATAGTTATTTCTTTATCTTTTATCAGTTAGTATTATCTAGTAATACTATCTAGTATATCTAGTAAGTCAGAAAATAGCTTCACTTGGTTTTAAAACGAAACCAAGCCAATCCACTATGTCAGGCTCTCAAGGTTATTTGTAATCCACAGCGTTTCCAGAAGTTCTCTTATCTTCAAACTCTACACAAAAACAATTTTTCAACAGCTGTTGTTTTGCCTCTTGAAACAGCCTCTGTGTCTCTCTTCTCTTATCTGTAACCTTGGGAGTGTTCTGCCTTCCTTAATTCTTTTCACACTTGTAATGTCTTTTCCAGCCAGTAGGTGTCACCCTTACTCTTTTTTTGTCTTTACAGCCAACTTTAAGAGATCCAACAGAGCCCCAAGATTTATTTCTTATTCTTCCAAAATTCGTTATTTAAAGTTACAAAAACCAACAAAGCACAAAGGAAGGGTTTCCAAAACAGCTTTTAAGGTTTAAAAAATAACCAGTCCAGTCTTTTCCCTTTGTTTTTAAGAGTTCCTCCTTGGTCTCCTCTTTTTTTTTTTATGGATCTGTCAACTGCTCCCAATCTTACTCGCAGCTATTCTTTCGGATGTGGGCAAATATTCCCTTCCTCCTACTCAACAGAGTCCCACTTTTCAAAAGTACTTCTTGGGGGATTTAATGCCCCTGTGGAAATTAGAAATAAGAAGTCTCACCAGATCAAATACACTGCATTGGATCCTCACTTCCTATTTCTTCATCTCTGGTTGCCCCAGCTTCGTTACAGCCATAATGGCCATCTCTCTCCTCTGTCGGTCGGTTGGGTGCCTTGGATCAAGCAAAAGAGCCGCCGCTCTTCCCCAATCGACAAGGGGTCCCTCCTTTCTTCATCACCCCTTAGGGCTTCCTAAAGGAGAAGTATTGGCTGAGATTCGCAGAGCCCCACTATCCAGCGATCCTTCCGCTGTGGCACCAAACCAGAAATCTGGGCTATGACTTCTTGAACAGGCAGGCACCTAATCCAGGCCTCAAGCAGACAAAACCAACCAGTCAAAATAGAGAAAACATTCTCAGCAACAAATTAATCACCACATCCCAGGAAACCTACAAACACCAACTCTCTAACTCTCTCTCTCTCTCTCTCTCTCTCTCTCTCTCACACACACACACACACACACACACACACACACACACACACCAAGTTCAAATCTTACACAGACTATAAATACTACAAGGTAATCCCTACTTCTAAACAGTTCCACTTAGGAAGCATAGCTGGGATGTAGACAGACTATGCAAAAAACCCTAATCAGTACCTCAGTATTGAACTGTGGAGAACCCAACTACTAAATATGTACATCAAATCTGGACTACTACTAAGGAATCCATGTGGTGGTATGATTAGACCTCCATTTAGATAAAAGGCAACATGTTGATATTATTCAAGTAATGCATTTTAAGGTACCAATAGCCTATGTCTGTTTACTTAGAAAATTCAGGCTATGGAAAAATCATTTTCATTATGTGGGTTTCCCCTTTTCAGACCCCTTTGCTGATGCAACTAAGGGTGACGACTTACTCCCGGCAGGGACTGAAGAGTACATCCATATAAGGATCCAGCAACGAAACGGTAGAAAGACATTAACAACTGTTCAGGGGATTGCTGATGATTATGACAAAAAGAAACTTGTGAAAGCATTCAAAAAGGTAAAGTTGGTGTTTCTTGGATTTTTAAATGTTTGAGCTAGGAACATCCAAACTGAATATACATACATTCACAAGTATACAGTTATTTACATATATTTTTAAAATGCTATGATAGTCCTGAAATTGTTATGCTAATATTTTTGTCTCAGCCAGCAAAAACAGACAGTACATGTTTTGAAAGAAACAAGTCATTCTCAGTTGATTTTTTTAAACAAATATCTTTTCAGCAGTACTAGTGATAAAGTTAATTTCATGGCATCTCCTAAAACTGCCATATTTAGGAAAAGATTAAGGTCCTTTAAAATGGATCTAACACAGGTAGAAATACTACAAAAGATAATCAGAATTTAATATCAATTGATCCTGGAATATTCCTTAATATTGTTCTAATGTGCTTCTTTCCTAGTAACAGTTATTTCAGGAAAATGTGGATTAAAAGCAAGCTAAATTCAATATTCAATCCTGCCTTTCTTTCAAGAGAATGAGAAATCAAAGAGATGAATGTACTAAAACAGAGAGTAAAGAGATATAATATGAAGGCTGCATGGAAGTTGTCCAAACTATATGAAATGGAGAGAAGTAGAAGAAACAGTAGTCTGCATAACTAACTAGTGATAATTAGATGTAGAACTATAAAATGGAAAACCTTAACAAGTTATTGGGGGGTGGGGATAGCTTAGTGCAGAGCGCTAATCTTAAATATACTGGTGCCTTGGTAAGATCCTTTGTTAGCAAAATTCAGTTGAACGTTTAGAGCTATGCTTTACAGTCAGAATTACATCGTATAGTGCAGTGGTGTCAAACTGAAATAGAAATGGGAGCTGCTTCCAGGTCTGACAGGAGACATGTCAAACTCAAGGCCCATAGGCCAAATCCGGCCCGCAATGTGGTTAGATCTGGCCCACAGGGCCACCCAAGAGATGGGCTGACCCCAGCCCAGTGGGGCACTCCCCCTGGGCGCATGCACAGGAGGCAGCGAGTGTGCGGGGGGCTGTCCTGGTGAAAGGGAAGTGCTTGCGGGCTGTGGGGCCATGCAGGCAGTGGAAAACTGGTGGTGGGCGCGATGCTGCTGCCGGGGATCTAGACATTGATCTACAACAACTTCGTGGTAGCAGGGAAGGAAGGGAGGCAAGGAAGGAAGGAGATGGGAATGAAAAGGAGGGAGGAAGGGGGAGGGAGGAAGGAAGGAAAGAGGGAAAGGAGATGGGAAAGAGAAGGAGGGAGATAAGAGCCATGGTGGTTTAATGGTTAGAGTGCAGTACTGCAGGATACTTCTGCTGACTGCCAGCTGACTGCAATTTGGCAGTTCAAATCTCACCAGGCTCAAGGTTGACTCAGCCTTCCATCCTTTTGAGGTGGGTGAAATGAGGACCCAAATTGTTGGGGGCGATATGCTGACTCTGTAAACCACTTAGGGCTGTAAAGCACTGTGTAGCGGTATATAAGTCTAAGTGTTATTGCTATTGGAATGAGAGGGAGGGAGGATCTGCAGGAAGTCCTGCCTTAGCACTTAGCCACCAGCAGCCCTGCTGCCCTCTCACCAACCCCTTGCCCACTCCTCCTGGGCTCTCCTTATGATCTCCCATCCTATCGCTGACGATGCTTTGCTTGCAAAGCTGGGTCTCCTTGCATGGAGAGGGAGTGGGCCTCCCTCTGACTGATTATTTCTTTTTAGTATTTGTGGGTTTTTCTATACATTTGTGTATACAGTATACATATATATGTATACACCTCCATCTCACTGAATTTCTTCATGGCCTTTGGCCAAATTATCACACAAACCACTTTCATACCTCCTACTCCCATATACCACCTCCCTGCAATGTTCCCTTTTACTCCTGACATCCCATGTGTGGAAAAATGTTTTGTGTAGCTTTTCCCAAACCAAGTACAAACCAAGTGCAAATATATGTAATAGTGACATGTTAAGCATTCATGTATTTCATAGTTGAAGTATAAAAAATAGTATATAGTATGTCACATACTTGCTTGAAAGTTGCACCCTCAAGTCATTTTGAACTTCTGGGAACTGCTCCCTCCACTTTTCTTGGCAGCATTTTTCAGAAGTGACTTGGTAGTTATTTCTTCCTAGGGTTAAAAAAAAGTGACAGCCTCAAGATTGCCAGCTGGCTTCATGCCCAAGGCAGGACAGGAATTTACTGTCTCCTGGTTTCTAATCTGACACCTTAATCACTGCACCAAACATATGTGCTTGTAGATTATAATATAATCTCAACTGCAACATTTTGTAAGCTTTCTTCCTTTCCTTTTCTAATTTGATACTGTAATGTAAGAAGATAGAAAAGCATTACAGGCAGTCCTCCACTTACAACCATTAATTTAGCAACCATTTGAAGTTAAAATTGCATTGAAAAAAGTGACTTGCAACTGGTCCTTACACTTACGACCATCACAGCATCCCCACAGTCATGTGATGAAAATTTGGGTGCTTGGCAACTGGCATGTATTTACAATGATTGCAGTGTGCCACTGTGACATGATCGCCATTTGCAACTTACCAGCCAGTTTCCAACAACCAAAGTCAATGGGGGGAGCAGGATTCACTTAATGACAGTGTGATTCACTTAACAACTACAGTGCTTTGCTTAACCATAGTAAAAAAGATAGTAAAATCAGGCGTGAAGGCTCACTTAACCACCTTCCTTAGCAATGGAAATTTTGGTCCCAATTGTGGTTTTAAGTCAAGGACTACTTGTATACAAAAAGCATTTGCATCACCCCCCTTTTCATTTTTCCCCATTCTTTCACTCAAATCTTGAAGGGACATTCGAGGTCTTCTAGTCCAACCCTCTGCTTAGGCAGGAAACCCTACACCACTTCAGACAAATGGTTATCTGATCTCTTCTTAAACACTTCCAGTGTTGGAGCATTTACAACTTCTGGAGGCAAGTTGTTCCACTGATTAATTGTTCTAACTGTCAGGAAATTTCTCCTTAGTTCCAGATTGCTTTTCTCCTGGATTAGTTTCCATCCATTGCTTCTTGTTCTACCCTCTGGTGCTTTAGAGAATAGGTTGATTCCCCTCTTTTTTGTGACAG